TTTTCCCCTGACTCCACATTGTCTTGTTTTGTTTTGTTTGCAATCTCCCTCTCCCCACTCACATAGCAGGCTTCTCTTCCTCTATTCATTCCATGAACGCTGGTCTTGTCAGGGTTCCAGCCTCGACAATGAGGCTAATCAGAACAAAAGGTGTACAGATATGAGATTATGGTGGAAGAAAGTGGAAAGATATGTCATCTGTTACTTTACCAGAACTGACAGAAAAAGGAAGAGTCAGTCATGATTTTTCCAGCGTTGAGTATTAAGAAAGATGATGGTGCCATTCACTGAGGCAGAGAAACAGGAAGAAAAATAGATTTTGGAGGGATACAGTGAATTATTTTTTGAACATGCTGAGTTGAGGTGATTCTGGGATATCCAGGTGAACTTCAGACTATGTGGATCTAAAGGCCAGAAACTAAATCTGAGTTAGAGATAAAAATTTTGCAATCATCAGAATACAGTTGTTCACTGAAGCAATGTCAGGGGGTAAAATGGCTAAGGGAGCATGTGTAGAGTGATGAGAGAAGGTCAAGGATGGAGCCCTAAGGAATATCAATATATTAGACATCGGTAGAAGTAGAATCTATAAAAGGAACAGCTAGAGAGGTAGGAGATAAATTAGGAGATTGTGATACCAAAGGTGTGGGGGGGAGAGACGGCTTCAGGAAGAAAGACATGGTCAACAATGCCAAATGCTGCAAAGATAAGGAATGAGAGGTACCCATCAGATTTCACAGCAAAAGTCATTGGTGACCATGGCAAAACACTATGAATGAAGTGATCATTGCAGAGGCCTTTTTATAGAAGGATGAATTTTACATTTCAGAGGACAAACAGTTCCGTATGATGGCAAGATCCACCATGTGACTATGGGAGTTAGTGGCTGAAGTGGATTGGAGAAGCAGATCATTGGAGCTGAGGAGGCTGGTGAGACTTGTTCTCATGGGCACTGATGTCATGGAGGCAACAGCTGCGGTCCAGGTGCCCACATCTTCAGCGAATGATGGAGAGTGGTCAGGAGTTCAGTGGGTGACAGTGAAAAGAAGTGTAGAGGAAGATGTAGCTGGATGGCACAATGACCCAAGGGACAGCGGTTTTTACTTCAGGGTGGCGAAGTAATGGTTGTGAAGTGGTATTGGGGAAAAGGGAGGCAGGTTATTTCCACCTTTCAGTGATCAAAGGTATGAGGAAGTTCTAGAAAAA